CTCGTTTTCAATATGGTATCAGAGCCAAACTAAATGAAAGGTCATGCGTTCGAATCCCACCGATACAGTCACCCATTTCAAATATTTCAAGATTCTCCGCTGATAAATTTAAGCTTATAAAAAATATAAGAGTTTCGTCTGAAATGAAAAGAATTAGTTGAGTGGTTGTTAAATTTATTGTGACAAAAACAAAAATTTCAAAACCTTACGTTATTTCATGTTGTTAGATATATGTATCAAGTGTTTATATGGTTTATAAGTTGTATAACAAAATGTGCAAAATGAATTACATTTCCCTTGGACAAAAGTATATCTATCATAACTTTTTTTTTTTAATTTAAAAGATAAAAGTAATTAATTTGTTGGTTTTTGGGTATAAGAAAGAAATGTGGGTTCAAAATTGTATTTTGTCTTTCCCTTGGCTGTATTAAATCAACTTTGCACGAAACTTTTTGTTGTACTAGCTGTATGTTTTGAGATAAATCACTAACTAATAATCAAATTATTGATTATTAATTAAGGTATCTAATTAAAAGTTAATAATAAATTTGGGCTTTATAAATGTCTGGCCTATGTTTCAAGTCAAGAAATCTTAATTTGTGCTAAGAAATCCTTCAACCCGAATTCATATCATATTTGAATTCAAAGTGTTTATAACTATTTGGTTCAAGAACGAGCTTCTAAACCCTTGAATCGATTTAGGAGTGAAGAATCAGGGAAATATATTCGTAGATTGTCATCCATTCTCGTATTGATTAATAAATCGTATGTGTCTCCTATTTTTCTTATCTCGTATTTATATTATGCACTCTCGAAGATTTATGGGGAACACTAATAACCTTGATTGAGACCATGTTATCAAAATTTTGAGCAAAGTTAGAAAAAAAAAGGGTCCAATTTCTTGTCTTTTAACTATATATTTTGGACCACCTCTTCAATAATATTGGAAACTTGGCTTTTAGGACACAATTAAGAAATAAATACAAGGTTTCATAAAAGAACACCATTAAATATTGTTCGAGCCAAATGAAGCTTCTAGTACAGATTCAATTTGCTTCATCTATTTAATTTAAAATGGAGAAATAATATAATAAATTAAATTGTATTAGCAATTAATTTTTTTTTCCTCAAATGAAACTCAAATTTTAATTTCCCAATTTGGAGAGATGAAGCTGAAAAAAGGACTGCACACTGTTTTTTCGCAAAGTTAGTGATTAGGTAAAAAGGTTTTCTATGGCAAGAATATGTTGCTTTTCTTGTTTGTCACTTTCTTCATGCTATGTAGCATCAAAATAGCATATCAAATTATTCCAATACACAAGCTTTTATTTTTATTTTATCCTACCTCAAATAAATTATTTAATTAATAGAATAATAAGAATTATGATAAAATGGAGTAAAATGTTCTCTCTTTAGTTGGTGGGAGATAGGAGAAAGGTGAAACTTCCACATTTGCTAATTCAGGCATAAAATCAATTGATGCATGAATATAAATATAAATCCAATAAAAAGATTGATGATGTCAATTAGACATCTTAAGAATATGTAAACATAATAAATTAATGCGATAAAATTCAGGCATCGACTGTTCTAGGGGTGTGCGCGGGTCATAATCTTACGGGTTTTAGTAAAATTCATCCTTGTCTCATGGATTTTCAACAGGTACGGGATAGTCGAGTTTATAATAACGGGTTTATAGCAACGTCCAACGTTCGTGTGTCGAAACACAATGCAGCAAGATGCAGAATTCCTCACAATCCCTTCAATGTAAATCATTTATTCAAATTTCCAACAAATCAAGATTAAAACTTTTTGCAAACTACAAAAAATATTTAATTAATAATGATATAAAAAATAAAATCAAAAAAATCAGTTCCGACTTCCACGGGTATGTGCCTCTGCACCGACTCCACGGTAGTTAGACCCAGGATCCGCTGACGCCAACCAAATCATCCAAACGAGCTCGGCTCCCAAGCCGAGCCGCGCCCAGCCGTAAATCCCCTTCCACTTATCACAGCTCATTTTATACGCCAAATAAACTTGCATTTCCCTTGAATTTGAGGTTCATTTCATTTGATGACAAAAGCAAAAAAAAAAAGAAAGAAAACCTAACCACAGTCAAATTGTAACCACATGTTGAGACCCCAGTTTGTTTTTATTTAAAGACACTGAAATTGTGAAAGGGCCAGCTGGGTAGTAGTGAGACACTCTACTGATCCTTCACCCATCACCCCCCAACCCCACCCCCCCCCCCCCTCCCAGGGCGCCCACCATTAATTTCCTCGGGGACGCCCCTTCGAGGCCAGTAGGTGGGTGACATATTTCTCTTACGTGCAAATGACAAAAAAAAATCCCGATCGGGTGGGGGGTCAAGACGAAGTGGTTTTGCTATATCGTAATTACCAATTAGCGGGACAACTAAATCCAATTGTTATTAAGAAAATTCTATTGTTTAGGTAAATATTAACTTCATCGCACCTAGACCGTGCGTGGGTCATTTATAGGAGAGCAACGCAGGACGACAAGCAAGAAACAACTTACTCATCTAAGAGGAAAAGTATTGTTCGTACTAGACAGACGTACCTCTGTACAGAAGAGATGTGTAAGAAGGCGTATCTGAACGGTCACAGG